GAAACTTCCTAAGAATGCCAAATTCTATCACCCTCCCCTCTGCTTTTTCTGCACAACTGGAGAGAAAGCAGCAGGAGCTAGTTGGAAAGATACCTAATTTCACATTAAGTCAGAGGGATCAGTGTTTCTGTGCTTGCTAGGTTCTGTGGCATCCATTCATTTTGATGGTAAAGGCCAAAGTAGGTATAAATTCTAAGTGCTGACCTGGAGCTTCCTGTGGCCAAGTCATATCATCAGGGAGTAAGGCCTCTGGGAGTTGATTTCCACTTGTTCACATCATGATGTTTGAAAACAAGATTGGGATTAATGGAGGAAGAGAAAAGGGACAGGCGGGGAGGGCACAGGGATTGATGGGAAAGAAGATGACACCCCTTTGATTCTTTGGGGCGGAGGACATGGGCCTTGTAGGAACTCTGAAGCTCAGCAGTGGGGGAAGGATTAAGTGAAAACAGTTTGTAGCTTGGAATTCTGTTAAGCCTGGAACTTTGGATCCAGTGCTTCTTCATGCGAGGATGAGGGTGAAGGTATTGTTGGCGCCCAGTTCACAATCCCTTACCGTACTCAACACTTTGGCTCAAGGTTGGACTGTGTTAAGTAACTTGGCAGAGCTCACTCCTACAGTCTGAAAAAGTATGAACTGATCAAACTGCTTAGCTTCTCCAAGCACATTCTGCAACTCTGCCTTACCTCAGATTTTCCAGCAATGTCAGACGTGCAGCACTGTGCCTGGGTGGGAAAGATCTGGATCCCCATGATGTTTTTTGAGTACAGAGATAATTATTTGGGGTAGCTGTTCTGATGATAGCTCACACGGAGGCTTAGCCTGCAGTGCGGAGCTGTCTCTAATCATGATTGCCTGTAATGATGATTCCCCAAACTCTGGAATTATAACAATAGATTTTGCAAAATTAGAGCATAATTGCTCCCCCATTCCATATGTGAGCACAGATTAAGCAACTTTGATCTTTCAGTCAGACTTTTGTTACTCAACTTTTGAAATAGCAAAATTCAGAGGCTTGGCTTTCTGCCACCCCCTCCACCCCACCCCCACCCACCTTTTTAAATCATAGTGAGGCTCAGATTTATTAAAGCAATACACCTGTTAAAGGTAGAAGGGCTAAAGTTGGGTGAAGTGGACAGAGTATGTACCTGTGGCATTCAGATCTCAGCTCTGCCATGTAGAAGCCAAGGCAAATCTTCGACCTCCCTGAGTCTCAACTTCTTCAATTGTCAATACTTTTGTCAATACTTACCTGACTGAATCATTGCATTAGAAATGAACGTAAAGCACCTAATGGATACCTTGAACTCATGGGCTGTTGGTAAAACTGTGCCATGTCGTCGTCATCATCATCATCATCATCATCATCATCATCATCATCATCATCATCATCATCATCATCATCATCAATTCTATTATAGATTTTCAAGATTTGAGGTCTTCAGAACCCTTCTGAATCTTTGGATTTTGTAGCCTCCCTTTGACATACAAGTTCATTTGGAGTTTGTGGTCAGGTGTTAGTGGTATTTTCACTAAATTTGACACAGAAGTTTGTAAGGTATTAGTATGAAAGAGGAAAGAAGAAACAGGCCTCCTAAGGTTGGAACACTCAGGCCTGGCCCCGTTTAGCCTGCACCACACTCGGCTGAAAGGGCTCAGCCTTGAGCGTGTGTTTGAGTGAGGTCTTTCCCCACGGTCTGAATGTAGAAGGTCTAGAATCACCCAGGATTTGGCATTTTTAGGAGGATCTCTGGCAGTTTGGAAACAGGTGGTTTAAGGACTATCTGTCCCTTCCCTCTGCCCCAACCCAGACGCTGTTTGTCACTTCTGTCCGCGAGGCAGGTTGTGATTTAACAGCACAATAAATTGCTTTGGGCTGGTCCAGCCCAGTGGCCACAGCCAGCAGAGCAGGCCTGACTTTTCTGGGAAGAAAGGGACAGTCACAGAGCCCTTGACCATCTCCGTGTCTGGGCTCGAGTGCCTCACCTCCCCCCAGCCACCACCACCAGGCATCTGTAGTCATCCCCAGTCTGACACCGGCTTAGTGAGCTCGGGCTGGCGCCTGCCCTGTGCTTGCTCCTACGGGAGCGGCCAGAATGATCAATGAGGCAGCCAGGCCTTCCACTGGCCTCCAGTGAATCAGCTGCCTCGCCTGTTCCGCCTCCACCGAGCAGGAAACACTCGAGCTGAGCCCAGCCAGGGCTGACTCTCATCTGGCTAATGGCTTTGCTGTGTTGTGCACCAACCTTGTCCCATATATTTTTCATGTGTGAGTGGGTTGAAGCTCCCAGAGACTGTTGGCTGGCAGGCATAGTTTTTCAGAAAACTCCCACCAAAGCCTTTGATGGGACTTTGGGTTAAGGGTGTCTACTTCTGACAGTCAACACTTTCTTCAAAAATTGAAATGAAATTCACATAACATAAAATCATCCTTTCTCTTTCCTTTTTATGGAGCTAAGGATTGAGTCCAGGGCCTTGCCTGTGCTAGGCAAGTGCTCCACCACCAAGCTATTAAGCCAAATTAATCATTTTAGCGTGACTAATTCAGTGGCATCTAGTTCAATCATAATGTACAACCAACTACCACCTCTGTCCAAAACACTTCCATCATACCCCAAAGAATCCTTGCACCTATTGTACTAGCTTTTTAGGGCTGCATAACAAAGTGCTTCATCCCCATGGCTTAAACTATGGACATTTCTTATCTCACAATACTGGACGCCAGAAGACTGAAATCAAGTTGTCTACAGGGTCGGTCCCATCTGTTTCAGGATTGGTCCTTGGCTGTAGGTGGCACCATCTCTTTGAATCATCTTCCTCCAGGCCTGACCCTATGTCTCATTTTCTCTTGTTTTAGATGAACACCAGTCACATTGGAGTAGGGCCCATCCTAATGACCACATTGCAGCTTGATTACCTCTATAAAGGGCCTAATTCCAAATATGGTCACATTCTGTGAGGGAAGGGATTAGTACTTCACTATATGAACTTAGAGGGACATACTTTGACCAATAACACCCATTATGCAGTTTCAGTATACTTTGTTCATTTTCACGGTTGAATAATATTCCACCGCATGTAAACATTTATTTTTGGAATAGCAAATACCAAACACCTGCCAATGACGTTTCAGTGGGTAGAGCTGAGCAGCTGAGTCCCCCGTGCCAGGCTTATGTGCCCAGATATGTTAGGTGGAGCACTGATCTCACAGGTCTCATAGCTCACAAGTCTCCAATCTATGAAGTTGCTCTTACTATTGTCTTTGAAAGACTGTCAGTCTTTGTGAACAAAAGTAAAAGCAGTGTTGGACCAAGGGGAAGGCAGGTCATGTTTCTGATCCGATGATTCATTTTTAAATGGATTTTATCCTCTTTCTTCTTCCGCTCTTATCCCCAGCACTTCTCCTCCCCACCCCCAAGTGCACAGACACACTCACATTCAAAGCACTTTAAAATACCAATACCGAGCCTCTGTGAGGGGTGTGGCCCAGATAGGAATCGAAGTCTTTTGAGAAGACCCAGCCAGGCTAGCTGGCTCCTGTTGTCATGGTTACTGGGTCCTGTCCCTGGGGCTGGATGCAGGCTAAGAGACTGTTGGAACTTTTTCGCACTTCTCTCCCGTACCTGCCTCAGCATGAAAGAGGGACCTTTGGACCAGTGTTCTCTCAGCTTTGGTACTGACAGTACTGCTGACGTTACATTTCACCCACCTCTTTAATTTAAAATCTGTTTCTCTCTCTTACGCACATAGCAGGGGACCTGCATCCCTGCTGGCCATGGCCTCTTGAGGAACAACTCAGGACCCTCTCCCTAGCCCAGTGGCCTCAGTGGTACTGACATGGTGTCTGTGTTGGGTCATACCGAATCTGCAGGAAGGACCACAGCAGATTCATATCATCCTGCCTCCTGACTCTAAGCAGACATGTCTCTCTTGCAAAATTATTTTACTCCCTCCCGTCTTCTCCTCTTCTATCAAATTAGTTTTGTCACTTGAAAGTCTCCTAGGGAAAGAAATGCCTGCCGGCTCCAGGGTTTTCAGACAGGCAAGAAGGAGTGTGGGACAACAGAGGTAAAGACAGGGCAGAAAATGTTCCTGGCATTTGTTGCTCCATTTTGTGATTCTAAGGTAAATCATGTGGCTTCGCAGAGCTACCTGGGAGGCTGCATGCTGAGAGTGGAATTGAATTAAAAAATAGTTAAAGATGCTGAAGGTGAGCCAGGCGTGGTGGCACACACCTGTTATCTCAGCACTCGGGAGGCTGAGGCAGGAGGATCACTGTGAGTCTGAGGCCAGCCTGGGGTCCATAGTGAGTTTGAGGCTGGCCTGAACTACACAGAGAGATCCTGTCTCAAACAACAAACAAACAAAAAAAGATGCTGAAGATGGTCTTCCATGTGATGCAGCTTCTGGGACTCGGGCTTTTAGCCTTGGCCCCATTCGTGGGAGAACCCTGTGTGTAGAGCTTTTCAAAACTCCCAGGTAATCTGATGTCCAGCCACCTGTGAGAACTGCTATTCTGGGGAAAGGGGCCTCCAGGACAGTTGAACACTTTGGAAAAGGAGGTACAAGAGGCAGGCAATGCTGTTCCCAGCAGTGCTGCTAGGCAGAAAGCAGGGACAGAAATAATATACCTTAGGCTGCCTTTGACCAAACCAAATAGGATGTTAGCTCCACTAAACCCTGTAGGGCCAGAATGGAAAGGAGACACTGGTATCCCCTTTCTCTGCTGCTGCCCAAGGGCTGATCTGTTGCTGAGGCACCCCCCAGTTCCCTGCATCTGCACCAGGATGCAGAATGATTACAGGGCCATGCCATTTCTGCATGTGGCTCACAAGGAGCCCTCTTCCCAGCTCCTGAGGAAAGCCACATTGGGCCCAAGTGGCTGCTGTCTTCTCTCGGCAGAATGTGATTAGATGTGCTGTGCACCATGGATGGAGGGGGTTTGTCAGAGGTAAGCTAAGCTGACCTACCTCTCTGTCTCTTCTCTGTATGCTTGCAGTACAAAATTGGACAGCTGTACATGATCAGCAAGCACAGCCACGAACAGAGCGACCGGGGAGAAGGGGTGGAGGTTGTCCAGAATGAGCCCTTCGAGGACCCTCACCACGGCAACGGGCAGTTCACTGAGAAGAGGGTGTATCTCAACAGGTAGGTCACGACAGCCCAGAATGCGCCAGGAACGCCCTCCACTGGCCATGGCACCCTTGAGGTAAAGGCTGTGGGGGTGTGAGAAACAAGATCACTTGGAAAGTCGTGTGTCTACCGTCTATGTCCACCAATCTCGTTGCTTCCAAAAACAAAATCCACTGTGTCCACTACCTGGGATTCTGAGAAATAGAGCTCAACTGCATTTTCATTGGGAAGCATTTTTGTCTTGCATTTCCTGTCCCTTTCATGACATTAGGTGAAATCTGATCTTAAGAATTAAAGAACTTTCCTTTTCCTCTTGCTCAGTGTTAGCTGTAGGAGAAATCGCTCTGCCTATAAATTGCAGGAAAGTGCTGAAGGTGACAGTGTGCCCTTGGGTCTTGATTTAGTAGAATTTCCAGTCACTGTTAAGTGACCACTCAGGTTCCTGCAAAGGGAAATGACAAAATGAACAGTCGCCTGTGATCAGAGTGACGTACAGTTTCTAAGGTGGCTTCCATTTCTCAAGTGGACCTATCCTTCCTATGGTAGAAGTTGTTATTCTCCACTTGGAGGATAAAGCATCAAGGCTTATAAGCCAGAACTAACCAAGACCACCATTTCTGCTTTGCAAAATGTACCTTTCAATCTCTTCGCTATTTTCTTATCACTGATGGCACAACTGCCTCTTAGGGCTTGTCTGATCTCCCCACCCTGTACCCTGTCTAGTCTATCTTCTGTTCAGTTATTTTCTGGGTGAGAATAGTTTTAGGGAGATAACATATGGAATATATTTTACTGCTATTAACTGTCTTTCAGCAAACCAGTCTTGTATTAGCCTTTTTATGAATACTTTAACTACCACCCATTGCCTCCCATTTATGATTATTCAGAAATATTTCCAACATGCTAGCTGGACAGTGTCCCCCTGTTTTTTCACCAACCCCTCTGAATATTTAGTGTGGCCAGATGTTTCTGAGAGGAACCATATTTGGATTCCAGTATCTCACACTAGTTCACTCTCCAGCAGGCTGACGTAGACCATGAAGTCCTGATGGGAGACTCTGAGTCCTATCCATCAGGCTGGGTGGACGTTTTCCAGGCTGCTATCCTGACAGCGAAAGCCTTGAACTTATTGAACTGATGTGTTCAATAATAATAATATTTTCCTCCAGGGACGAGGGACCAGGGAATTCCTGAGTCATGGTGAAATGCAAATGAGATTGATCACAGTCATCTATTAGAAGTTGTGAATTCTTAGGATTTGGAGTCAGTTCAGCCTCCAGCTAACTGGATCTACAGCAGTCACTGAGCTCTGGGTCTGGCCTGAAGATGGCTTCCTTACAGAGGCAGATTTCTTGGTCTGCTCCTTTGGTATTAGTGCAGCGAGTATGAAGTAAATATTGAGCAGGTTTCCCCTCAGGGATCACCTTTGTTGAGCTAGAAGTGAGGGAGATATGGGAAAACAGAAACTACGGAAAATTCCATTTCTTGGCAGCCGATTACATTCTCCTCACTGACTGCCTGAGGAATGTTCCTTGTACACCAAACTCAAGACAAATTTTAGAAACTTTATAACTTGGTGAAAACAAATACAGAGTGTCCAGCTGTCTTTGTCATGTCTGTTTTCTCTATCAAAATGTATGATATTTATTTTAAAGGAGAGTCATAAACATTAGTAAGAGGGAAATTTGTTATAAATAGAATATGTGGGCTTCCAGTAATAGTAACTAAAAAGATTAATGTAGACCCTCCCCCACTTCCTATGACAAACACAGGATGAAATAAAACAATACAAAGCTGAACTAAAAACAAAAGAAAGAAAGAGGAAATCCTCAGGTGCTAGGGATAGAGGAGAACCAGAGTGGGAAGCAGAACGGCAAGTGCCAGGAAAGCCAGGGAACCTCAGAACTGAGTTTAGGCTCTGGAGTCTGGGGAAAGGGAGTGTCAAGCCCATATCTGGGTAGGAAATGTGGCCTCGGGCCCACACAGATGGGGAGTGAGAACTGAGAATCAGGCATAGAACTCCTTTTGACAATCAAAGGCTGAGAGGAGCTTCTACCTAGAGACCCACGCTGAAAGAACCGTGGAAAGTGAGCCCAGGAAAAAGATAAGGAGCATCTATTTATTTACACAAATAAATTGATAAGCAAGTCTGAATGAATGTAGAATGTTTTAAAAACACTAATAATGACTTACTAAGGGTATATTTATAGAATCTAAACAATAAAACAGAAGATAGAAGGGTAGTAATTATAGTAAAACAAAAGCCCACTAAGATGCTAATATTGTTGAGGAATTGGAGAGATATGTTTATTATTTTAGACTTCTTAAGGCAAGGATGCATATTTAAAATGTAAAGGTAACCCCTGCCCCCAGCACACCCACTATGGTTAGAATCCAGGGCCTTCACACTGAGCTATCTCCAGCCACTTTTTAGTGTTTCTTTCTTTGAGGGGCGGGTACCAGGGATCGAACTCAAGACCTTGCAAGCGGCAGCACTATTAAGCTAAATCACCAGCCCTTGTAGTGTTTATTTTGAGATAGGGTCTCACTAAGATGCCCAGGCTGGGCTTGAACATGCGATCTGCTTGCTGTAGCCTCCCAGAGTGCTGGAATTACTGGCTCACATCATCTTTACTTTTACCAAGCTAAAGGTAACTTCTGTTCACAACAGTCACAAGTAGAGTGTCTGAAATAACAATACATAGGTCCTCTGAGGAGAAAATTTTTTTGTTTTTGTTTTTGGAACTGGGAATTGAACTCAGGACCTTGTGCTTATGAGGCAGGTGGCAGAACCACTGAGCTAAATCCTCGGCCCTAAAGATAACTTCTGAAGGAATATTAAAACAATAAATCAGTTTTAAAAGAAAACATGATCAATCCATAGGAAGTAAGAGACTAAAAAGAGAAGTGGGGGATGTAGCTCAATGGCATCCTGTTTGCCTCACATACGTAAGACCTTGGGTTCAACCACCAGCACCACAAAGAATAAAGAATGGAAAACATAAATTTTGATGGCAGTGTAAGTTCAAATGTCAGATACTTTCCCAGTCACCGTGTGACCTAGTTCTGGCCAATAAAACAAGATTTCCCTCCCTCATAAAAAAATGAAAGCTGTTCCAGAGGCTGGCTTTCCTGCTCAAGCGGGCATGTTCTGTTTGTAAGAAGGTGTGATGGGGAAGATAACTCCCAACATGTTAGATGTCAGCTGTGCCAAGTTCGTGGTCTCACAACATCAAGAAATGAAGTCGTGAACCAAAGGAGGAAGTTAGGAGAGTTTATTGGAAATAAGGAGAAGAATATCTCCTGGATTTCCAGGAGGGGTCCTGAGTGGGTAGCCACTGAATCTGTTTGTCAAGAGTATTTTATACAGCAAAGTCACAACATGGGTACAACGTGGTCAAACTACAACCAACCTAGAGTATTACAAGTACAGTGGCTGAGCTAATACTGATCCAATAGGGAAGCAAGTTGCATAGGAAGAGTAACTGGAAAGAACAAAGGTATTTCTGTAAAGGGATGGAAGGATGGTTCCAGATGTTCTAGTCACCTGCCTATGTGTCTGATGCCTATGAGCCCTCTGGACCCAGTGGTGCTGAATACAATATAATCTCAAGCTACTGTTTATCTCTAGGGAGACTTGCAGGCCTGGCTGTTGCATGTCTGTCTTGAACCCTGGCTCTCTTTAGATCCTCCTCCACCCACAATTTTGATGTCTTTGTCTTTTGCATTGACTCCCTCAAGAGCCCAGTCACTCTTTGACTGTCTGTTAAATTGTCTACCTTAGCTGTCTATAATAAAAGGAAGAAAGACACCCTGAATTGTTGCAACATTATTTCCCAGTTGGTTGATGCCAAAGTCAAAATATGTCCACTTCACAGGATCAGTTGTTTACATTATTCATATCAGTGTTTTATTTATGGAATTTTAATAAGACAACCATCAGTAAGAAAAATAGAAGATAAAGAAAGGACAGAATGAAGGGTGACTTCTAAAAAGAGAACTAATAGTGCTTACCATATGAGCATTAATAACAAAACTGTGTAGTAATAGTATAAAAAGGAAATTATAAATCAATCTCAGCTAAAACATAGACATAGAAATCCTATATAAAGCATTAGCAAATCAAATATCTCATCATCATCATAATAAATTATGACCCCATCAGATTTATCCCTGAAATTCATTACATTAACTTTTTTTTTTTTCTTTTGGTACCAGGGATTGAACTTGGGTCCTTCTGCTTGCGAGGCAGGGTGCGGAACCACTAAGCTAAATCCCTGGCCCCCATTACGTTAACTTTTAATACATCTTCCTGTGTACTTGTCCACAGTAGGGTCAAGAACAAAGTATGAATCCTTGGGGTCACCACTTCTCTCTAACATTGTGGGAAGGTCCTAACCAGTCCCCAAACCAAGTATGAGCAGGGGTTGTAGCTCAGGGTTAGATGCTTGCCTAGGACACACAAAAGCCTTGAATTCCATTCCCCAGCAACACCTACACACAGGCAATAAAGAGATAAAGAGAAGGAGATAAAATTATCAGTTAAAGATAAGATTGACTAATGCAAATTTCAGACATCCCAGATAACTGCTAACATCAATATAAGAATCTGGTGAGATTGCTGATTGTATATCTAAATATAGAGATGGGCAACATCATTGGACAGCAAGCAGAAAAATTGCAAAAATGTAAATTTTAAAAATTCCATTTACAGTAGAAAAGAAACTTACAGGTACTATATGACAATGCAAGATATGCAAAAAAAAAGATTTTTGGAGGAAAAATATAAAGCATTTCTTGAGGCCATAAATCCTGAGACAGGTGCTGAGGTATATACTGTATTCATGGATTGGAAATGCTGTATTATACATGTGGCATCAATTCCCAAATCAATCTACACATTTAATGCAGTCTAATAAAAATGTCAAGTTTTGGGCCGGGGATGTAGCTCAGTGGTTCCACTGCCTGCCTGGCAAGTGCAAGTTCCTGAGTTTGATCCCTGGTTCCAAAAAAAA